AGAAGAAGAAGAAGAAGAAGAAGAAGAAGAAGAAGAAAAAGAAGAAGAAGAAAAAGAAGAAGAAGAAGAAAAAGAAGAAGAAAAAGAAGCCCCGATAAAGTAAAATATATGCTGTAGAGAAACAAAAATGAGTCAATAACACATCCAAAGGCAAACAACAACAGGACAAAAACAAACAAACAAACAAACAAACAAACTAACTAACAAACAAACCAGTAAGAAGCCCAACTCAGCTATTAAACAACGAATGCAGATATATGAAACTACTGAAGGAATGCGAAAAAAAAAATGAAACTGCTGAGCGAATAAATACGAAACTACGGAAGCGTTAAAGAGAAATATAATACCGAAATAAAGGTCCATTATGCGTTGCATGCACATTCGTCATCCAAAAGAAATAAGGATTATTTCTTTTTAAACCAAATTTTAATAGCATGTTATTGTCCACAATCCTCTATTTATTCTTAATGTATGCATGCTTCTTTTTTGTCACATGGATATTCTGACACAGTCTGTTCTTCCTATTTCGTTTTGGAATTACCATACCCTTTCTCTACTATCTAGGTGGTGGTTGGAGTGCGTCACTCGTTGGTCCAACCTTTTTCTGTTCCTTTGTTGAAATTTCTATTTGTCTATCTAACTTTTCACGTGCACTCAATGACCATTGTCGTGTCGATTTTTTCATTTCTTTTCTAGAAGACCAAAGAGACAGCTACTTTTAGGCAGTATGCCTATTTTATAATCCATGGTTGTAACAAATACAACCACCCACTTACAAAAAACGACATCGACAGACGTTTTCGGTCTCACCCTCCCCCCACCTCCGTTACCCTCTCTTTTTAAAACTTCCACACGTCGACTTAATTCTCCCCCCCCCCCTCTTTCTATCTGCAGTTCGGAGTAAAATGAAAGCAGCGACCATGAACTTGAGGATCAACGTGCTAGGAGCCCGTGGTGTGGGCAAATCTGGTAAGTATTCAATGAAAAAAGCATCATCATCGTCATCATCATCATCATTATCAAAAAAATAAATATTTTTTTGTATCATCATCATCCTAGAAAACAAGCATAGCAGCAACAGAAATGACGACGAGAGACTAGAACAATAACCCCCCC